GGTTATGCCGGGAGATAATATCGTAGGAATGGAACAGCGTGACCATGGGACACTGGCTTATGCCTGGAGATAATATCGTAGGAATGTAACACTGGGTTATGCCGGGAGATAATATCGTAGGAATGGAACACTGGCTTATGCCTGGAGATAATATCGTAGGAATGGAACACTGGCTTATGCCTGGAGATAATATCGTAGGGATGCAACACTGGCTTATGCCTGGAGATAATATCGTAGGAATGGAACAGCGTGACCATGGGACACTGGCTTATGCCTGGAGATAATATCGTAGGAATGGAACAGCGTGACCATGGGACACTGGCTTATGCCGGGAGATAATATCGTAGGAATGGAACAGCGTGACCATGTAAAGTGTACGGTTCAAGCGGTGAAATGTGGATATTGGCTGAGGATGAAATGTGAATATAGGCTGAGGATGAATATGAATATAGGCTGATGATGAAATGTGGATTTTAAATGTTATAAGCGTGCATAGTTTAAGTTACATAGTCATTGAAATCACTGTAGCATGCATGCCTGCCATAGACCATGAATGACATCACTGTAGCACGCATGCCTGCCATAGACCATGAATGACATCACTGTAGCACGCATGCCTGCCATAGACCATGAATGACATCACTGTAGCACGCATGCCTGCCATAGACCATGAATGACATCACTGTAGCACGCATGCCTGCCATAGACCATGAATGACATCACTGTAGCACGCATGCCTGCCATAGACCATGAATGACATCACTGTAGCATGCATGCCTGCCATAGACCGCGATGACATCCTTTCAGCTACATGCGTTGCCATAGAATTTAAATATTGTAGCCTACATGCCTGCCAATGATTCTAATTTGATGCAGTATCTGCATCTATAAAATGTCTGGGATCGAACCCGCTGATTTAGGAAGAAAGCTCTATCAGGTGCGCACTTTGATTACATACAGTTCTATCAGGTGCGCACTTTGTTTACGTACAGTTCTATCAGGTGCGCACTTTGATTACGTAAAGTTCTATCAGGTGCGCACTTTGTTTACGTAAAGTTCTATCAGGTGCACACTCGTTTACGTCCAATTCTATCAGGTGCGTACTTGTTAACGTCCAATTCTATCAGGTGCGCACTTGTTTACGTCTAATTCTATCAGGTGCGCACTTTGTTTACGTACAGTTCTATCAGGTGCGCACTTTGTTTACGTAAAGTTCTATCAGGTGCGCACTTTGTTTACGTACAATTCTATCAGGTGCGCACTTTGTTTACGTACAGTTCTATCAGGTGCACACTTTGATTACGTACATTTCATTTAGGTGCGCACATTGTTTACGTATAGTTCTATTAGGTGCGCACATTGTTTACGTACAGTTCTAATAGGTGCGCACATTGTTTACCGGTATGTACAGAAGCAGCGACGTGTAGAACGCCAATGGCGGAAGTCGGGCTTGACTGTGCACCGACAAATCTTTGTTTACCACAGGGAACGAACGAAGAGGTTGGTCCTTGCAGCTAGGACTGAGTATGTTAGTCATCAGATTACAGGCAGCAGCTCAAGCAAGGACTTATTTCGCATTGTAGGTCAGCTGACCGGTAAAAACAAGGCTACATCTCTGCCAAATAACATTGCTGTAGAAGAGCTGCCAGACGCTCTAAATGACTACTTTATTACAAAAGTTAAGAGGATCAGAGCGAAACTTGACAGTTGCATCGATACTGCTCCAGAATTCTCACTATTCAACGGCTCTTCTATGGGTGAATTTGTTGAGGTCAGTGAATCGAATGTGAGGAAAATCCTCGCTGATACCCCAAGAAAGTCATGTTCGCTCGACCCTCTTCCAGCAGGGCTCTTGTATGAATGTCTGGATGAAATAGTCCCCATCATCACTTATATCATAAATCACTCCTTAGCTTCTGGTATTGTTCCATCATCTTTTAAAGAGGCGATCGTCACTCCACTATTAAAGAAATCAAATCTTGACCCAAATGTGATGGAAAATTATCGCCCCATCTCAAATCTACCATTTATTTCATAAATCTTAGAAAAGGTCGTTCTCCGCCAACTCCAGGATCACCTCACACAGTTTGACTTGTTTGAACCATTCCAGTCAGCATACAGGGTGCATCACTCTACTGAGACAGCTCTGTTGCGCGTCGTAAACGACCTTCTGTCGTCTTGTGATGAGGGCCGGGTATCGATTTTGTCTTTACTCGATTTATCGGCAGCTTTCGATACGCTCGACCACGGCATACTGCTCCAGCGTCTGCAACAAACGTTCGGTCTCACTGATACCGTCCTGTGTTGGTTCCGATCGTATCTGACTAATCGGGTCCAGTCGGTTATTTCAAACGGCTTGACCTCGAAGAAATCTAATCTCGAATTCGGAGTACCCCAGGGCTCGGTCCTAGGCCCGATGCTTTTCACGATGTACATTCAGCCCCTGGGTGCAGAGATCAGGCAGTTTGACATGTTGTATCACATGTTCGCGGACGATACACAACTTCATCAATCCGTGATCACTTCTCAGTTCCCTCAGCTGCTCAGTATTACACAGAAGACAATGGAGTCGGTAAAGCACTGGATGACCATTAACAAGCTCAAATTAAATGATGATAAGACTGAGCTGCTCCCCATTGCGACCGCTCAGAAGCAGAAATCTGCACATAACACGACATCCATTACTCTCTCAGGTGTGCGTATTGAGTTAGCTCAAACAGTGCGGTACCTGGGTGTCTACCTAGATAGAAGACTAACTTTTGAAAGTCATATTAACATGCTATGCAGGGCGATTTTTCTGGAGCTGCGCAGGATTAGTCAAATCAGGCCCTTCCTAACAATTGATACAACAAAGAGGCTGATGTCTGCATTTGTGCTATCACGCATGGACTATTGCAATGCTCTCATGGTGGGTCTTCCAGCTACGCTCCTGGATAAAATTCAAATAGCACAGAATAATGCGGCTCGCATAGTTCTCCGCAAACGCAAATTCGACCATGCAAAAACACTTCTGAGAGAGTTGCATTGGCTGCCGGTGCGTGCTCGCATAGAGTACAAAATCGCAACTTTGTGCTACCGCTGCTTACATGACCTGGCGCCGTCCTATCTGAAAGAGCTGCTGACGCCTTATGTACCCAGTAGAGAGCTCCGCTCATCCGATAGTGGCAAACTCTCGACACCACGTGTTTGCCTTGAGACTTACGGAAAGCGCACTTTCGCATTTGCTGGTCCAACAATTTGGAACGCCCTTCCTGTCGATCTTAGAAACAACCAGACACTGGAGTCCTTTAAAACAGATCTAAAGACACATCTATTTCGCAAATACCTTCTGGGATGATTGTCTACTTTAATTTCCATGTGTTGCTGTGTTGCTCCGGGTTGAAATGGCTAGAAAGACTTTGATATTGTATGCTTGTAATTAGTTTTTGTAGTGTTGTGTTTGTTTTAAATGTGGTGAATTATAGATATTATGTTTTTTGTTGACTTTGTACCGCGCTTCGAGCCTTTGGGGATGAAGCGTGTTTTTTAAATGAACTTTATTATTATTATTATTATATGATAGATGAGGGTAGGACACATGGTATATGAGATAGGATATCTGGTAAGTGAGGTAAGGACATATGGTAGACCAGGGTAGGACACATGGTAGGTTAGGTAGGACATATGGTGAGTGTAGGACATTTGATAGATTAGGGTATGACATTTGGTAGGTGAGGATAGGACACATGGTAGATGAGGGTAAGACACTTGGTAGGTGAGGGTAGGCCATATTATAAGTGATGTAGGACACATGGTGGGCCAGGGTAAGACACATGGTATGACATATGGTAGGTGATTGCAGGACATATGGTAAGAAAGTAGGACTTATGGTGGTTAGGGTATGACATATTGTAAAAAAAAGTAAGACATGGTAGACAAGGGTTTAAATAGCACAAGAGGGTGAAATTTCAGTGATTTTAAAAAATTAAGGAGTCTGCTCAGATTTGTAAGGAAAAAAAATACTCTTATGTTTCAAGTGCACCAACACTCTACAACAGAGAGTTTATAGATTGTTATAAATGTTTTTTAAGATATTGCTAGCAATGTTTTTTAGATCTACACGTTTGTGTCATTCTTTATAGTGGAATACTGTCAAAATAACAGAAGGGCCAACACATCGAGAATTGATGATACAAATATTGAAGCATTTCCAGCAATTCCATCAAGTCTAAAATCCAGTAAAAAGATAGCAAGAGGAATGACAAAAATCAAAATAAATTTTGGTTGACACATGTAAGAATAGTGTAATTATTTTTAAAAAATTTAATTTCTCTTTAATAGCATGTTATTTATTATTTTATACAGTATGGCAAACTTAAGTTTACATTGGCAACAACTGTGGCTAAATTACAAAACCACTTGTCCGGATGAATAAAAAACTACATAAGGTACTTAAAATAAAACAAAATTTGGTTAAATCTCACACACTTCTACAACATATACCAGAGTTAACTTAACAAGTAAAATCGCAGACTTAATAAAGAATATTCAACATATTTGTACTGGAAGACATCAGCTGATTTGATTTCACATTTAGCTTAACAATTGTGATTTAAACAGCTACAACAACAACAATAACAAAAACAGCAACAACAACAACAGCAACAACTACAACAGCAACAATTACAACAACAACAACAACAACAACAACAACAACTACAACAACAAAACATAATCGAATCCCCTACACGATTCTGTGAAGTAGTCGGATCTTCCAGGATAATTCTACCATCACTGACGACTACCACAGACATTTCTCAGAAGACGTTTCCAATCTGCAGGTTGTAAAAATTGTCTTGAAAAAAAAAAAAAAGGTGTAGTCTTCTAAAGCCGCGTCATGTTTTAAAATTATGATTATTGTTATTTATTTTTAGATGTG